CTCAATTCCGGTTATTTTGACCTAAATTTGGGTTAAGTGAAGCGGGAGCCGGACATTCCTAAAATCCAATAGAGTAGAACTTGAATGTCTTTCGCCTCGCTCCCCTCAGCTCCAGTCAATAAGTCGATAAATACATATACTTTGAAACTTCTATAAATGCACCCTCTATAAATACACATCCTCTCTAAATGCATGCTCAATATCTGGCCCAAATATACGCATAACCTCTATAAATGCACTTTTTCTTATTGTTCTTTAAATGCACGTTGCTAAAGTTTAGTCCCAAGAGCGTGTATTTATGGAGGTTTCACTGTAGTACTATAAAATCCTGGATACAGTAATTCATTTGAAATATTAAAAATCACTAATATTACGCATTACTTCGCTTAAGTAACAATGCAAGTTTTTTTCTTGTCTACTTAATAGGGTGTAACGTTTGCACAAATACATTTAGGACGTAGATAAATCCACAAATCACAAGATTGCAGTTTATTTTGGATCACATTAATTAGAAAATTATGTTATAGATATAACATTCCATATATTTTATTAATTTTAACAAATAAATAGGTCTATCACTTATTTGCAAAAATCTATAAGGATTGAGCTTGCTAAAAAATTTGTATTTTAACAGCGTTGGTATTAAATGCGTATTACTATTAATTTTATAAATGTATTTGCCAATTTTTATTCTAATAAAATGCTAGATGCTAATTATGAAATAATTTATAAAATTGCTAACTTTGTATTAATAAGGCACTATATCTTGCTTGCTTACTAACAAATAATTGTACATCTCAAAATTGTTAGATTTTTGCAAAGTGAATTACGCATCACGACGTATTTACTTTTGAATGATTAGTCATGCTAAAAAATTTAACTGATTAAGAAATTCACAGTTATGCAAATTGTAATTAAAGATATGAAGATTTAGATCATTTAACTGATAGAGTTTGCCTCATATTTTGTATTAATGTTATTAATCACAAACACAAAATTTTTATCATGTACAGAACACGTTTGACACCATATGTACTTTATTTGTACACGGTTGTGTTACACTACATTATTATCAAACCACAAACTTAAACACATACCGAATTAGTATATGACCCGTTACTTGTGCTAACAGTGTTTGGTCATGGGTCAACAAAGTTCTAAAAAAAATTGGCCAGAATTATTGTTATCATTATAAACAACTCGAACTCAATTTGGACTAACTTTTCGGATTTGATGATCATCATTGTTACGCAAATGTCTATGTATACATTGTGCAACACCACATTTTTTTACTTAAAAGAAACGATGTTGTATAAAGTTTTTATTTCAACTTATAAATATTTTAAACTACCTATTTAATCTATTACAATGTCTTATAGTGAGATTGAAAATTTTGATAAAGAGTTAATAGAAGATTCCAAGTATACATTTAATGTCAATAATATAAAACAGGAATTTAAAGAGGAAATTCATAAAGGTAAAATAAATATTATATAATTCAAAGTCAAGCGAATATGTATATTTTAGCATCTATTAATTCCTTTATTAACCTACTTTCAAAAACATCAAAACTTTCATTAGAATCTTATGAATTATATATTCCCTTTATGAATGATAATGAATCTCTGTTAAATTTATTTCGTTATTTTATTAACTTATTTAATGTTCATTATGAACCAACATATATCGTTAATACATTAAGACAATATTTTAAAGATAATAATATAAATCCTTTAGATACCTTGAATCAATTAATTAATCACCAAAATCAATTATACTTTACAAGTATCATTGGTTATTTTTATCAATTTGGAATTGGTACAGAAATTAGTTATAGATTAGCGAATAAATTTTATACACGATCAATTATTCAAAATGTAAAAACATCACATTCAGGTAACTCATTTGTTAATGAATTAGTTGAAAATAATCAGAATATTGGAAAAATTTCTCTGGCTTATTTACATCTTTACGGCATTGGAGCTAAAGAAGACATGCAACGATCATTTCTTTTATACAACGAAACAGCTAAGAATAACTATGGGTTAGGACAATATTTGGTTGGTAAATGCTTTGAAGAAGGTTATGGAGTAGAAAAAAATAACAAAAAAGCTTTTGAATGGTATCTAAAATCCGCTAAAAATGGAACACCCCTTGGTCAATATTGTCTTGGACGATTTTATCAATATGGTATATCTATTGATAAAGATGAAAAAATGGCATTTGAATATTATTTAAAATCAGCTAAGAGTGGAAACTTAAATGGATTAGCAAATCTTGGATATTGTTACGAAAATGGTATAGGTGTTATCAAAAATAAAGAGAGAGCTTTTGAATTATATTTTAAATCATTTTTTAGTGCTGATATGTCAATTGCGCAAAATCAATTTTTGCGTTATTATAAAAATTATATAGGCCTTGGAAATAATAATGAGATAGCACTTAAATGGCATCTAAAATCAGCAGAAAATGGTAATCTCATCAGTCAAAATAGCCTTGGATTTTGTTATCAACATGGCATTGGAATTAATAGAGATTTTAAAAAGGCAGTTGAATGGTATTTAAAATCTGCTGAAGGTGGTAATTCTAATGGACAAAATAATCTTGCGTGGTGCTATTTGGAGGGCCAAGGAGTTGTTAAAGATGAAAATAAAACATTTCAATTATGTTTAAGTTCTGCTAACAATGGCAATTCTAACGGATATAATGATCTTGGATGGTGTTATCAACATAGTTTGGGTATCACTAAAGATGATAAAAAAGCATTTGACTGTTATTTGAAATCTGCAAAAAGCGGTAATTCTTATGGACAAGTTAGCCTTGGATTATGTTATTTTAATGGTATAGGCATTGATATCGATCGAAAAAAAGCATTTGAGTTATATTTGAAATCTGCTAAAGTTGGCGGTGTTGTTGGACAAAATCAACTTGGATGCTGTTATCAACACGGCTTTGGAACCAACATAGATGAAGAAAAAGCATTTAAATGGTATATTAAATCTGCTGAAGGTGGCAATATTGAAGCCAAAATTAATCTCGGCCAGTGTTATAGAAGTGGAATTGGAACTCCTATTGATGATGAAAAATCATATGTATGGTTTTCGAAAGCTGTATATAGCAAAATTAATAATGTAACTTGGGTTCAATATTCATAGAAAGAACCATTTAGGTACAATATTGATAATTATTTTAATATATCTATACTTAATGTGATGCTAAGTACTACTATCTTAATCATTGTAACAAATACTAGAAATTAGTTTAAATATATACATTAGTATGGGATAATGTGTGGGGATTATTAATTAAAAGTTGATTAAAAATTTGAATTTGTTATGTTTCGAACCGTGTAATGCTTAATTTGTTAGGAATTTATTATTTATTTTCTAAGATCGAACCCTCGAAAAAAATTATTAACGCTCCGATCTATAATAACAATACGTCTAAACCATTTTCCCACCATTTAAATTTATGTACAATTGAGTGAACCCATTTTAAATTTATGTACAATTGAGTGAACCCATTTTAAATCTCTGTACAATTCAGATACCCATTTTAAATTTCTGTACAATTAAGTGAACCCATTTTACGTTTCTGTATAATTCAGATAACTCATTTTATTTCTGCACAATTCAGATAACCCATTTTCTTCGTGGTGACTTCCATTTAATTGTACGTTCCATGGGATAATTTGAATTTTCCTCGTAACTTCTTTCATTAATGGTTAAAAATATTCGTATGTATGTTTTATTTTTATATTATTAATATTATACGTAAAGTATATCATAGTTTAGATCAGAATAATTATATATATGATAAAAATATTATCATATGTGCGTCAATTAGATAACTCACAATCAGTAGTCAAAATTTCAAATTTTGGGGTATTTTACAAATCCGCCGTAATGTATTGATAAAATTTGAAGATTAGTTAATCAGAATATAAATATTTTGCTTCTATAAATAGTAATTTGCTTTTAAAATCGAATAATTCTAATAAATTTAAACAAGTTAATCAAATAATTTGAGTACATTACATATGGTTCAATTGATAATCCAACAGAAAAATAAGGTAATAATTAATTAATAATTAGATTACTAATATAATAGAGATTGACTAGCTCTTAAGACCCGGTCGGTGACCGGGTTCGAGTTTCTAATTTTTTGCTAATTCTTAGGCCTCAATGTTATTAACTCTTAGGCTTCTATATTATTAGTTTATAAGACCCGGTC